ATGGTATCTGCCTGATGGTTGTGATGAAGTTGAGACCCTTGTTTAGTACTAACTTCTCAGAGGCACTCAGATGGTGTTGACTGATGTTGATTACTGCCTTCATTGGTGGGTGACAGACCTTGTGTGTCACCTTTTGATCTTACAAATTGTCTAATTTCTGCAATTGGTGGGCTTTGACTGCTTTGATTTTGAGTCTGAAGGATTTATCCGGGTCATGTAATAATAACACAATAATAACAATACCTCATCTGAGAAATATAGACAGTATTTTATTTGGTTTCACTTTGTCTTTATCTAATCTTCTCAGTATTCTCTCTCTCTCTGCATTCATAACATTACCTTCTTCAAATATTTTCATGCTGCTCAATCCACTTGATTATTTCCATTCTCATTTTTCTCAAGTCTCTTTTTGGGACATTCTATAAAGTGTTTTTCTTTTTTTTGTCCCCCCCCCCTTAATCTTGCAAATGTTTCTAATTCTTTTTCAGTTATTTTCAGTTTTCTTTTAAATTTTGTCACAATTTCCAAAATTAAAAAGAAAAAACATCCGTGTATTTAACATTTGAGAGAGATCAGAGTTTAGTCAAGTTTTTTTTTTTATAAGAATGTGCTGAAAAATGAATATGTTCGTTAATGAATGTGTATGCATATGAAAAAAAAGTTTCTCTTGCAAGGTTTATAAAATGAGGAACTAATGAAATACACTATTTGGGATGGTGCCTAATATTGTATAGGACCCCCTCTAATCTGATGAAGCATAGCAACTTGACATCATTTTCACAAGTAGTTGGACGAGCTCAGATATTGAGCCATGCTGCCTCAATAACTGTCTCCAGCTCCCTGATATTTGTAGGTGAAAGATCTTTCTTGGGAATAGACTTCTCTACCATGTCCCATGTCTGGTAAATGTGTCCTCAGACCAGTTCTGGGCATACAATGACACGGTATCCTATTGGAATAACCCTTCATTGTTTATGTACACTGAGTCCATAAATGGGTACAAGTGATCCCAAAACCATACAACATAGTGGTTACCAATCAATGATATGTTGTGGTGGACATGAGACAGAACCTGAGACGAGCACAACTGGTCACGACTTGCCTTGTCCCCGCCAAAAAAGAGCCCGTATTTGCTTAGCATGTAAAGCTACTGCAGTTGAAATGAGGGAGAAAAAAGCACTTACCGCTCTGCCGTAATCCGTCCTCGGACAGATAACGTAAAAGAATGAGGGGGGACTGGCATTGCATTTTTATGCAATAAAGATGCAATGCATTATGGGACATAGACGCAATGAATTATGGGATCACATGAAGACGCAAGGGATTATGGGTATATGGACAACTATAAAAGCAACTACTTTTTTTCTGAGTCGGGGAGTTCTTCGAGTGACGTTCACTGTTGGTGGCAAGAACGGACAGTTAGTGTGATTTGGAGACAGAACTCAAGAAGGAACTACTCAAGGTTGAAATACCAGCTGGGAGAGCTTGAATTTACTCGCTGGTTACTGTTTTCTTTATTCACCACATATGTTTAGGCAACACACTGCTCACTGTTGTGGGCCCACCACTAGCTTGCACAGTGCATTGTCAACAACTGGGATCCCTGACCTTTCTGCATCACACCTGTACTTGACCATTGGCCCCAAATAATTGGAACGATGACTCGTGGACCACATCACACATTATCAGTCCTTCAGAGCCCAAATAGTGACATCACAAATCCATTTGAGGTGCAGTGTCAGGTGTCAACAAGAGCACCCTGCTGTATCTTCTCTGCTTATATCCCATGGAAGCTAAAGGATGCAGAGAATTGATCTGCTGTATATGCATCTGGTATTTGCTGCATTCCATGTTTGTGTGATTTGAGTCTTTGTTGCTTGTCTGTGAATGCAGACAATTCTAGCCAAGATACCTTTGATCACAATCATTAAGGACCTGTGGTTGACCACTGTGTTGTCTACAGTGGTTACTAATGCTTTCCATTTGGTATTCTCAGTACACACATGGCACATGTCTGCATAATTTCCAAAATGGAATGTCCTATCCATCTGGTACCCACTATTGTGCCTGCTTTGAACCTGAATAATTCATGTCACCTTGCCATGAACAGCTTAACCAGAGTTCACATTGACTTACCAGATGTCAGAGAACAACTGAGATATATATCTGGGCATTTCCATGATGTCAAGGTATACTGGTGGTACTTACCATTAACCTTTACATACAGCTACACCATTAGTTTTGGCACATTACTGTGTATATACTTTGGAAAAATTAAAAAAAAATAAACTAGAGTCATCACATTTTCAACATTATCAATATGTAAAGGTGTGTGCAGGTGTTTCAAATTAGATTCTTATTTCTGGCTATTTATTTTTTTTCGGTTTGGTGACTCTGTTGCATTTGCTATGTGGTCTCTTCATCTCTACATTTCTTACTTGAAATGTTTGGATGCCACAATTTGTGATCTGCTACATTTTTTTCTCTTCAGATTTCTTAGTTGACATTGACCTTCTTCATAGTCTGTTTTGAGTTGATCTTTGATATGGTGCAGGGGAAAGTGAGGATCATATGTTAGTACTGAATTCATAACAAAAGGATCTGAGTAGGAAGTTTGCTGTCACTCATACAGCACACATATCCTTGTTTGATGATATTGGCTTGTGCTTTCTTAAAGACATGGTCCTCTCATTTGGTGTTATGATTGATCAAAGTTGGTGGAAGCACTTAAATTTCTTGATGTTTCAATAGTCCATGTTTCACATTTGTAAAGTTAAAATGACAAGAGCTTGATGTGCCTTGTATTTGTTTTAAGATTTTGGTTATGAAGTTATGTCCTATTAATATAAGCAACATGGACAGCAAAATCTTATTTCTCACATCCTTCTTGGAGTTTTATTGTAGTGAGGAGACTTCTAAAATAGGGGAAAATGCTCTACCTGTTCCAGAGAAGTGCTAATGTTGAATTCTGGAAAGGCTGACTTTAAAAGCAAGTTGTACAAAGACTTTGGTTTTGCGAGTGTTGATACTCGAACAAAAGCATTGTAGAAATGTTGGCACTTGTTTTCAGTGATAGACTAGGCAGGTTAAAAAGTCCTCAATCAAAGTCATACAGGCTGATCTCTTTCATGTTAGTTTTTGATGTTTCATGGATCAGTAGATGCCAAATAGGGGTAGAAGATTAATACAGCAAGTACACCAGTCTGTTGGGGGATTGGAAACATTTTTCAGGCCCTTGTCCATTCATGCCATCATAAATTAGGTATTTTGGCACCATCCACATCGCAGATCTTGGTATTGTGTTGAAGGCAGCCTTTTCCAGATCACACACCACAAGAAAAAGGTTTTCTGTTGTTCTCTACGTTTTTTCCCAATAGTTGTCTTGCATGAAATATCATGCTGATAGTTCCTGTAGTGTCTGAAAATTGGTTTTGTGACTTGATAGAATCTTCTCAGAGATGTAATTTGTAGGCAATTGAGCCAAAAAAAATTTTTTTCTGTTGTGGGAAGTGTTGAATATGACACAATAGTTGCTACATATGTTGTGATCTCTTCTCTTGAAGATGATAATAATGATGCCATTTCATCATATTTGATTTCTCACATTTCCCACAGATGACAGTGAAAAATCTTATTTTAAATGTAAGACTTCATTTTGAATGATTTCCAGATGGATGCTGTCCAGTTTGGATGCTTTCCTTGGCTTCAATTCTTGTGATGACTTCTCTAAATTTTCTAATATGTTAGTAGGAGCTGATATCCAAGGTTGTGAAGGATATCAAGCATGTTTCAAAGATAGTCTTCAACAAGAGAGGAATTCTTGTTGAAATATTTCTTTTTTTGAGGATGCTGCTATTGGCTATTTTCTGTTAAAAAAAGCAAGCTAATCTAAACAGCTCTTTCTATAGAATGTTTTTGCTGATCTCAGGTTTGCCTTTTCCTGCCACTATTTTTCTGTATCTCTCTGATTTGAGATTGGCATTTTTAACTGAGCTGTGAAAACTGAATTTTCTTTATATTGGATTTTATTCAAGGGATATATGGACTTATTGTTTAGCATTAGTCAAACACATTTTCTTCATTGTCATCATGCAAAGCTGATGTTGATTCAAATGATGCTTTCAATTGTCATTCACTTTTTTGGATTGTTAGCTACTCTTTGATGGATTCTTGCAATTCTTTATTCACGTTTTTATTCACAATGAAGTAATCACAAGACACATGCCAGTGCCTGGAGCATGGTTAAATCAATGAAGTTTTTAAGTAATTTGGAAATTAGAACTGGGTGTTGGTGATGAAGATTTCCTGCTTAATCCAAAAAGCAACTGACCATTTTCATTACAATTTCCAAGTCCTTATTTTCCCATTGCTCCTGAAGTTTTTAGCAATTCTAACAATAAAAACATCAAATAAAGCTAAACTCTTGTTGGTATATTGGTGAATTTAGGAGTCAGTCAAGGATAAAATTAGTGTAGGTGTATAAGCAGAGATGAATGGGATAAAATTGTCTCAATTGAATGGTATACAGGGAATCATGAGTTCTAATTAATGGCTGCTGGTGTGAGTTGGTGGTCCTTCATCAAATTTGTTTTTAGAACATAACTCCTTAAATATAGCCTTCAACTTCCACAAGTGTAATCTGAATTTTTTACCTTTCCTCTTCTTTTCTTGATTGCTGTGTTTTACTAAAAACAACTTCTTTCTTACCTGTTGTTATTGGCATTCAGTCTAAGCAGAATTCAGCTGGTCCCAGTTACAGTAACAATTTCAATTAGATACACAAGATACTTCTTGATTTTTTAGTCACAGTTCATCAGCCAATCATTTTGTAGAGCCTTGCCCAAGCACATGATTAAATTCTTGAGTAGTCACTAGAAGAAATGTAATCTTTATCTACATTATTATAAAGTTAATATTTAATATACCTTCATTTATACTTTGTACATTACTGCTTGGAGTTAGAAATAAAATAAAATTTTTTAAAATTGTTAAATTTTCAGGTCTGAGTCATGGCCAACTGTACTCATATCCTTCAAAAAGATGGAAGAAACGGAAACGAGCATTTTTTCCTACAGAAGTTCGAATAGCACGAGCTGGAGACATAGAAACTGGTGAAGCAGGTAAAGTAACATTTTGTTTCAAATAATTTCTTTGTCATTATTCCTTTTAATTTTTGCCTCCCATTTGATGCGTTCATGATATACACTACTTTATAGATTGATATTTATCTGTTTAAAGTAAAAGCTTCTCAGTTTTCCTCTTACTATTACTGTATGTCTTATTAAAGAACAATTAATAATTATTGATACTTTTGCTCTATTGAAGTTAAGCATTTTATTTAAAAATGTCTCATTATTTGCAAAATGTTTTCTTTTCTTTTTTTTCTTTTTTTTTCTTTTTCTTTTTTTTCTTTTTCTTTTTCTTTTTTTTTTTTTTTTTCTTTTTCTTTTTTTCTTTTTCTTTTTTTCTTTTTCTTTTTTTTCTTTTTCTTTTTTTTTTTTTTTTTTTTTTTTCTTTTTTTTTTTTTTTTTTTTTTTTTTTTTTTTTTTTTTTTTTCTTTTTTTTTTTTTTTTCTTTTTTTTCTTTTTCTTTTTTTTCTTTTTCTTTTTTTCTTCTTCTTTTTTTTCAATTTCTTTTTTTTCTTTTTCTTTTTTTTTCTTTTTCTTTTTTTTTCTTTCTTTTTTTTTTTCTTTTTCTTTTTTTTTTTTTGTATGGTGCTTTGTAGTGGTCTGTTGCTTTATCAGAAAGTTTCTAGATCATTCTTCATTTTAAATGAAGATACCTTTTTCAAGCACACAGCCCCACCCTTCCCACCTGATTTAGGTATTACTTATTGGTGACCATATATGCAATTGGTACTTTTATTCTTCTTGGTGCATCTGTTAATTGAATATTAAGAAAATATGAATTGATGTCTTCTCCAGCTTTTGGTTTATGGGCACCCCGTGCTGAAATACTGGTTCCTGTACAATTGCCAAAGTTAAACAATATTGAGCCTGGTCAGTACCTAGATGGGTAACCGCATTGCGAATACCAGATGCAATAAGTTTGGATGTGCAAGTTGTGTAATGGAAAATAACTTGGAATTTTTAATCATAAAGCCGAGTTCAAATTCCTGATGCGTTTGTTATACTCACTTACATGCAAATACCCTTCAGAAACGTATGGATCCACCACTTCTCCCTCCAGCTATGGTTAATTATTAATAAGATTTGTGTCACTAAACCATTATCTCCAAAGAAAAAAAATTCTTAGAATTTAAAAATATTTCTGGTTTTAAATAACCTGCAAACGGTTATCTATAGAAAACAAATCAATCCAAAAAATCTCTCCAATTTTCATAATTAGCAGAAGTTATGTCTATTTTAACTAACCAATCAATAAGCAGAAATAATATTGAATTACTAATTGTTTTTGTGTTTGCTTTTTAAATACTATAATTAAGAAAAAAAAGTATAACTGTTATCTGGAATTCTTTCCGCTTTTCATGGATTTCAGAAAGACTTTTAATCTTCTGCAAAATGAATATTTTCCAACCTGCAATGTCTGCTAATCACTCAACTTGAAGGTTTTGCTTATTTTCTTTAAGTGAATAAAGATTTTACTCAAAATATCAAAAGACTCATAAAATGTTTTGCATAAACATTTTTTTTCTTGAATATTTTGCAGTTTAAATGAAACAAAAAAAATATGAACATGGATGAAATGCAGTTGATTTTAAAAAAAAAAAAAAACAGTGAAAAAATATTAAATGCATTAAAATATTAAAATTTTTCTAAAAAGTGAAAATACAGTGATATTTGATGTTATACGTTAGAATTGTGGATGCCAGTGATTATACTCATCAACATTTTGTTTTTCATTCCTTAGAGATGCAGGCAAGGATGCGTCTCTTTATGTTGTCATTAGAACATGAGGTTTTTAGTATTTGCATTATTTACATTTCAGCTAATGCCCTCATCTTTGTTTTTAACACTTCCGTTGTTGTGCCTTGCTGACCATCTTCAGGTGTTTGTCGCCAGGTAACCTTTAGGGAATTTCAAACTAAACCCTTTAGTTAATTGATAGAAGTGGAGTTTGTACTTGTTTAGCTGTGTCTAGGGATATCTTGTTCTTATTTATTGCTTAATTGGTTTCCACTCATTCAAAGTTTACTGCTCAGCACATTGAAATCACAATTACTATGTCACCAAGTTCATGAACCAATGCTTTAATCTAACCTTGCAGATTAAATAATGGGTTAAGTTTGAAGGTTACAAGGGTTGGCAGACATCTGAAGAAGTCCAAAGAACACAATGGCCAAAATGTTGTGTTGATAATAACAAAGATAAAGATATTAGTCTAAATGTAAACTACTCATCCCAGAAATTCAAACAGAAAGGAGAGAGAAAAAAAACTTTCTTCAAAATTTCTTATAGATATCTATATGCAAAACCTACATTTATTGATATTTTACTAAGCTTACAGCATCAAGGGTGAATGGAAATAGGAAGATAAATTGCACCAATCATGCAGGAGAAAAAAACTAGTTTGCTTTGAAAATTGGCATTCACCCTCACCACCACACAAACACCGCTTCTTTCTTTTCTTTTCTTTTTTTTTATATGCAGTTGAAAACCAACTACCAGCTGGAAATATGCAGGTTCCTTAAGCACAAGATAGGCCCCAAACTCTTCTTGCTTACTCATATATATATATATATATATATATATATTCAGCTATTTCTTTAATATAAAATTTAGATAATTTGTAATTCTTATTTCTCTATGATTATTTATTTTTTCCCTGCCACCTACCCAGATATGCATCAAATCAGTGCCATAGAAAACCCTGCTGTGCGACGTGGAGAGGCTGATGATGACAGAGAAGATCTGAAAAGTGAAAATAGCAAAGATAAATGGTATGAAGAAGTTGAAAATATCAGTGAACCACCAGATGTTGGTGAAACAGTTGATTACCATTCTGATATCAGTGACTATGAAGAAATCATCCGAAAGAAGAAGAAAAAGGTAAATGTTCCTTTTTGTTTTTGAATCTTCCCAGAAGTTCACAACATATCTAAAACTGTTAGAACTGTTTTCTAAATTTTCCCAACTGCAATCAATTTCTTATGATATTCAATGATTAAAACATGATGACATTTCAATATTTACCTTTTGTATTAACTGAAAAGTTTCTTCTGTTAAGATGGCATTAGGAGTATTTAGTTTAAACTAACTTCATTCAAAAAGATGGCTCTTTGATAGTCACATCAGCATGCATTTTTTTTTTTAATTTGTTTTATTGGCATATTTTTGTTTATTGATTCTAATGAAGATGGAAGACATGAAGCGACATTTTTGGCAAATTATGCTTATTTTTATTTTAAGGAAGGCGAAAATGCAACTCGAATACAAAAGAAAAGCTTTGTGCAGTTTATGAAGAAGGTACTGTAAATGCTCAAACATGTCAAAAGTGATTTGTGAAGTTTCATGATGCTCCACACTTGGATAAACAATTTGTGGTTGATAGTTGTCAAACAATGACATTACTTGAGAATGATCACTCTGTTATATATGATGGGAGACAACCAACATGCCTAAAATAATCAAATCAGTTGATTTGATGTATGGCTTTTTTAAGTTAAATTAAAAATCCTTACTTGACTGCATTTGTGTGTAATTTACAACTTAAATGAAAATTTTCTGGTTTTGAAACATTGTGATGGGGTGATGAAAAGTAGATACTTTACAACAAAAAGATATGCAATAGATTTTATAGCAAATAATAGAAACTGCAATTATACTGAAGGCCAGCCTTCATTGCAAGATGATTGTGTATTTAGTTGGATTGGAAGGGAGTCTTTTACTGGGTATTCTGTCCTTTTAGATTAGCAAGCGATTTATTCAAAAAAGTACTGTTCTCAGACTAGATGAAGGCAGCAATTGATGGAAAGAGTGTAACATTCAGTCATAACATTAATATGAATCTGAACCTGGCTGGGAAAAAGTTTCTGGTCATCTGCCATATTCTGCAGATAATGCATCTTAAGATAACCATCTGTTGCAGTTTTTACAGAATTCTCTTAATTAAAAAAAAATCTCTCTTCACTGGAAGACTGCAAAAAGTACCTAGAGCAGATCTTTGTTGAGAAGGAGAAATTTTGCTTGGAAAAGGGAGTTCTAAAACTGCTTGATAGCAAAAGATGATGCAATCATTTTCTTCAATAAGGTTAGCTTACCTTTTTATCTTTACTCAGTAATCCAAACACCCTCCCCACTTGTGTCCCCCCTTTAATGATAGAACAGGTGTCAAACTCAATCTTATCATTGCACTTTGCTTACCCTAAAACCATTTAAGAATTTAACCTCTCTAACCAACTAATCATTATATCAACACAATATTTTGGTGAAGATGATAATATTGTAGAATTTTAAAAATGGAGTTATGTGAAGAAATGTTTTTAAGTTTGCTTTGATATCTGGTTTTAATAATTATTTTCTATAAAATAATTCAATTTACAATAATGAGCATTCAATTTTAAAATATCTGGAAATTCACTCAATAATAACTAACAACAATTTATGTGACTTTTACTATTGAAATTAAAATACCTTTTCAAATAAAAATATTGCAACCTTGTGCTGATCATTTAAACAAATGCATTTTGGTTATGGATAAATTTTTTTTTATGAACTCTTAGAAAGTTTCTATTCTGAATGTTAATATTTAAATTCTTTATTGAATTCATTTTATTAAGTAATTAGTCCAATTTTAGCATCAATACTTAAATACAATTTAATAAAATTTGTATATAGTCAAGTTTAGTAATTACCAGTATGAGTTCAAACTACTGTACTTCTTTACAAACCTGTAAATACAAGACTTATCATCTTCCTTTAATATTTGATTGAAAGGAATGAGGTTCATTTACTATTTGTGCTTTTATCGGTTCATGTTAGTTTAAAATATTTCTTGGTAGGTGTATTATGAGGGTAAGAATCTAACTGCGTGACTCCAGATGACACGCATATATATATATATATATATATATATATATATATAGGATTGCAGAAAAGTTCTTAGCCAAATCTACTTCCTAAAATCTGGCCAAATGGCCAAACAAAAATTTGTTTTGGGATACATTTTTGGTCGGACAAAACTTTTCAATATATCTTCCTGTGTGTGTGTGTGTGTGTGTGTGTGTGTGTATATAATTAATTAATAAACAAAATCCCAAATCACCTCATATGGGGAAGAGCCTTTTTTGGCAGACAAAGATATCAGTTGTCTGTCTTATCAACCCTGGTGTGGACTAAGTTTGTGTCAGAAATAGTAATTTAACTATATTACCGTATATATATATATATACAAATTTGACTGTTACCTTTACCATATATATATATATATATATATATATATATATATATATATATATATATATATGTGTAATGTCAGATTTTATTATGCAAGTCAGTATTTTCATAAAATACTATTTGTAAAATTTTAAAGTTATATATTTGAACAATATATCATATTTCAGCTAATAATATCTATCCATATGTAAAAAATATTGTTATGGGGATGGTGTCCAATTATGCAAACACTAAATGAAACATATTTGATTAACTCGGTATTGTATGTACATAAATAAATAATTATTTTACATATCAATATCGGCTTCTTGACATTTTATAACCTTCATCAGTTTTTCAATCATTGATTTTGTTGAATTTTCTACTATTTCATCTTTAACATTATTTGCAGCAGTTTTTATTGTTGACTATTTCCATGACTGGCCCAACAATCTGGTCCATCCAATGTTACTCTACATTCATCACTAAAAATTGCTGTTGAGAAATCAGTTTTCACATACTACTTCACCCAACTTTTAAATGTTTCTCTTTATAATGATTATTTAATGGTAGTTTGGTTGCTTTCCAGCCTTAAGCTAGTTTTGTTAAGATACTGCATTTTTTTCTGTTTATAACATAAGCTTCTTGCAATGTTTTCTTGCTGGTCAGTTTTTTTTTTTTTTTGTTTTTTTTTTTTGTTGTTTGTTTTTTGTTTTTGTTTTTTCCTCAAATCTCTTTTTGTAACATTCTTAAAGTCATTTTCTTGTTTTTAGCTTGCCAATGTTTTCAACATTTCTTTGTCACCTCAATTTAACTTTTTCACAATTTCCAATGCCCTGTTCCTCTCACTCACTAATTTTACAATCCAGTTTTTCTCTTTTGCAATTATGACTTTCTTGTGACCTGTGTTTCTCTTTATATATCTAAATTTTCTAAATATTATATATAAGTATATGCTGATCATTTTACCAATACTGGTTGGTTAATACCAGTTTTATTGTGAAAACATTGACTTGCATACTTGTATAATTAAGTCTGACATTGTATGTTGTATGTGCACACCCAGATATCTAATATATGTATGTATGTATGTGATATATATATATATATATATATATATCTACAAGCAATTTGTCCCCAATATTGAAGATCCTGCCTTCATAAATATAGCAAACTTTCAAACCACACACAGCTACTTCTAAAACAATGAGACTAAAAATAATAATGAGCTAAAGCTTGACTGCGGAATTTACTCTATTACCTGTAATGTTTGCCACAAGGAATAAATCGGAGGAATTTAAATAAAAGATTATATGAACACAAAAGGGATCTTTTACAAAACAACACAGTGCTCACTGTAATGAGTCTGACCATAATTTCAATTTTAAAAAAAATGCTGGTTTAATTAGAAGAGAAAGCCATTTACTGAGACAAATATTTATAGAAAGTGCTTTAATTAGACATTCTAAATTCAATTTAAATTGAATTTAGAATTTCTAATTTTTAAATTTAAGGGTAAGTTTGAACCTAGATTTAAATTTAGATTATTATGCAATTAGATATTTAACAACAGTAATAATTTATCCAACTAACACCAAAAACCCAGAAATATTAACCTGATTACAATCAGTTCACATTTGTACCTGGTGATTGCATAGTGCATGAAACTGTCATACTGTTGGCATGGGGTATTATGTATATTTATTAATATATACTTAATAGCTCTGTATTTATATTTATTTACTTGATTATGTATATATAATTGAACCATGAAAGAAAGTTCTTTTAGCAATTAGACTATTAACATGTTAGTGTTCTTATATCAGTATTATAAAATCTCTTGTTAGGTCTCAGCTCAGTCTTCATGAATAGAAAAGATTAATTGACTAAACAACAACTGCACACTTTTAACAAACACAGCTTGAAGTTCAATTGCTATTTATTTTGTGTTAGTTCTGTTTTTGAATTTAAATGCTAACTAGCATTTGTTTTTGTTTGTTTCCTTTCTTTTCTAAAAGTTTAATTGATGTAATGCATGAAAAAATCTTTGGAATGTCTTTCTTTTCTTTCTTTTTTTTTTTTACAAAATAGAGCTGATATCCTTCTGTTTTTTTAAAGAGTAAATTAGGAAATAGTTTGAATTACTTATTGCAAACATGAAATGTTTTCTATTCTCTTTGTGTCTTACCACAGAAATGTTGCACAGTGTTGGCTTATTTCATTAATAATAAAATAATATCCCAAATTGAAGTGGTAATTCTATGCCTCACTGAGTGCAAATGACATTGTTATTGAATTTTCAATGTCACTTTTTTGAAAATGGTATCTTCTAGTAAAGGCTAACACAATGACTGAGAATGGGAACAATGTTATCTCTGTTTCTATGATGATGGTGATCATCATCCAAACATCAAATGAGATTGAAATGATAACTGCATGGATTTTGTATTTAAAAAAAAAAAATCAATTGTGATGATAAAATTGCCAACCTTTGTACTGTTGAGATTACTGTGCAATTTGATTGCAATGGTAAAAAGGCTCAAAATGGATAGGTCTCTTCTACCATACTCTCAAAAAAAAAAAGAAATGTACATTTCATAATATTTACTGTTAATGTTGCCCGTCATCATCTGGTAATGTTTTAATATGATAGATTGATCTTGCATTTTTTTAAACGATAAGAGACCCATGTCCGGTTGGATCAGCCATCTATATGCAAAGGAAAGAACTGAATTATAAAAATTCATGTTGTCTTTAAACTCTCTTTAGGGGAGAAGGAATGGGTTATTAATTCCTGTAAATATTGATGATAATAGTTTTAAAGTAGATACCTCCACAAAAATCATGATACCTAAGGTTTAAATTAATTTTTTAAAATGTAAAAGCTTTTTTTGAAGCTTTCATTTTACCTCTTAGTATAAAGCTAAAGGATTAAATTTGCTATTTCCAGTAAGCAAAATACTAGTATTGATTGGAATCAATTTTCTTTTTTCATTAACATTGACAAAGTTGTCCATTTTTGAGACATTTGTAAACACAAGTTAGTTTTTGGTTTTAAAAATCTTGCAAAAATCTACTTTTCTGAAACTTGAGAAATATTAGCTGATTAAAGTATAATTAATCTGATTTGAAACAAATATTATTTAGTTTAAGTTTAAATGAAAGCATTTTTTAAAACTGTACAGTAGCTGATTTGATGTGTTTGACAGCCTGATGATGGTCTAATGTTGTTCTATGGAAATCTTAAAAATTTACTGAAATATTCTCTGTAATCTAATGTTTTATTAAATTTTAGAAATGTTGATTTTAAATTTAATATAGTCTTCACTCTTATTTTCTGATAATTTTCCGATGGTCACCTGTACCAAAAATGGACACATTGATATGCAAAAAAAAACCCCAAAAATTCAAAATTCTTTTTCAAGTATTGGTGTTTGATAATTTGTATTAAGATTTTCCATTTATGATTAGTAAATAAAATTTTCACTTAATAATAACATCAGCTAAAATTAATACAGAATTTTAAGAGATTTAAAACTATAAATTATTAAAATTTTAAAAAAATATGAAAATTCTTTTAAAAATTTATTATTCATTGAAAAAAAAATTTTCTTAAGTGAATGGTGTCCTTAAATCTTATTTATAAAAACAAAAGCTTTTCTAATTAAATAATATCATAGTTTTATTGCATTTTTATTTTTGGATTAAAAAAAAAAAAAATTGATTTAAATTCTCCAAGGAGTCCTGCTTTTAATTAGTATAAACATTAAGTGGATCAAAATTTCATAAAATTAAGTGGGGATAACAGATGTAAATATGTAAATATATATATATATATATATATATATATATATATATAACCAATATTTTCATTTTAAAAAAAAAAAATTTATCCACCTGCTGATACAAGAAAAACAAAATTTTTAAACAAAATTTCAAACATGCCAGAAAGGATTAAAAATTTTAATGGAATGAATAAAAAAAGAAATACTTGGGTCTTTCCTCTTAATAATAACATAAACAATTTGATGATAGAACTTAGTTTTCATCAAGTTTGGGGCCTTTTCATCATAATATGCTCTTTTTTAACAAAAAGTGGAGGTACCTCCTTTAAAGAAAGAGAAAATGAACCTGCAACAACAATTATTAAATTTCCAAAGATGAAGCAGAAACTGTCAAAATCTATTAATTTTGTCACAACAATGTTGGTATTAACATTCTTGAAATGAATCCATATTTATCTTGTCACTTTATTTCTCTTCAAGCAGCAAATGGCTGCCTGCCTGTTAGACTCTCTTCTATTAAACAAAGCCATGAATATTGTCTGTTCTCTGTGTGTGAATGTGTCCGATCTTATTTCTGTCTCTAACATTTTTGAATAAATTTCTATATTATTAAACATCCTGAGAAATAGACTATTCATAGTAAATATGAAGTTGAAAATTCATAATTTTTCAGCTTTCCATCAAATAATGGTGCAAAATATGAATTTGAAATTATGACTTAAGCATTTCCTTAACTTTGACAATTTTGTGAATTTTTAAATTCTATTCCTGTTTTTATGATTCAATAGAATTACAATAAATGAAATTTTTATGGTAATTGTGATTGTAATTGGCTAAACTTATTTCAGACAAACAAGCATTCCTTTAAACAGTGATAATACTGTCTCTTCCATTGACATTTTGTTGACTGTAAACTAAAGTTGACTTATTCCAGGGTTGATGAAAATCCATTTAACATCAAAAATGTTTAAAAACTTTTTTTCTTTTCCTGCAATAGAAAGTCTTCTTTTTTGTTTCATTTTCATTTTTTATTTTTTATTTTTTTTATTTGATTGAAAAATTATTTTAATCCATTTTACCTAAGAGATTTTTTGTTGCACATCTAACTTTCTACTTTCATAGTGTGCTTGTTACTTTGTTTGTAGGGTGGTGGTCGAGGCAGAAGAAAAGCAGATAAAGAATCTACACCAATTGATGACAAAGACAAACCGTACTGCTGTGAAGGTGACACAATTCCCCACTCTTCTCTTTTTCTATATGCGTGTCTCTGAGTGTGTCCTTTATTTTGCTCCCTATTACAAGTGATGTCTTTTGCATTCTACAGCCTCTGTTTGTCTAATTTGCAAGCATTGCATTTTCTAAAAGCTATTTAAAAAATACTAGCTAAATTCATAGAAATTCCACAGGTAGGCAGATAGATGACTGCTTCTGGCTAAGGTGAAATTAATTTTTATGTCTATTTTAATTAGACATTTTTATTCCTTTTATTTTATCAAATAATATTAAATTCATTTAAAACAGCCAAATCTAAACTTACCATTTTCTGTGAATTTTTATTACATTTTAACAAGACAGTTGTTGCTTTAAAGTTTAAAATCTTTCACTATTTTTATGATTATATTTTTTTCAACTAACTGTTAATTTCATTATTATTGGGATATTAAATTCTGAGGATAAAAATTAGGACAAAAATGTCATAATGTTTTGTTTCCCATCCAGTCTCCACTCAATGGGGGGGGTAAAGAAAGAGAGTTTAAAGTGACAACTGTCATGTGTCAAGCAACTTTTCAAAGATGAAATGTCTTAGTTCTATATTGAAAACAAATAAGTTTAATATCAGATTTTTTTTTCTAATCATAGAATATTATGTTAAAATTGACATTGTAGATGTTGAGCATTTTTATCAACACATTGCCTTGTCTATGAAATGAGTTTAAGACATGATATTATTTGATAAAAGAAATATGTAATTCAAATAATTACAATGAAAAATAAAAGAAAACTTAGTATTTCCACATTAATTTCACTTTAAACTCAAGCAGAAGAACAACAGTCTAATGAACATGTCATTTGCCTGCTTATATTCAGGTTGCTTATTTTGAATCATAGCCGAATTCACGTGATTAAATTTTAATGCTCATATCAGTTCTTTGTCACAATGTGTAACATATATACAAAAAAAAATCAAGCAGAATATTTACAATTATTTTACTACTAAAAAAAAAAAATATGTTCATTTGGACATGAGAAAGAAAAAATGGAACCAGTTTAATATAGATTCTTTGTGCAGATAATGTGCTTCACCTGTTTTTCCTAGCAACCTAGTCAGAATGAAATATAAATCCTGCGTATAAAGAAAGTGTATTGTAATTTTTGAGAAAGAATTAATAAATAAGCTAATCAGATGCTACGGCCAGAAAAACCTGTCCTTGTTGTAACATCTGATAAGGTGTGATTTATTACCATTATCCATCATCCCCACTTTTGTTTGGATAGTATTCTTCATCCTGCTAACAAACATTTAAAATTCTTGAGCAATCAAAAAAAAAAAAATATTAACACTTTGGTAGTTGAAAAAGTAAAGCAACACTTAATGTTGTTCAGAAGACTTTTTGATAGGGTTATATTTAGTCAATGCTGAAATGGTAGAGACTAATGTATGTGTTTGCTCTGCGATAATGTTGATATGGCTGAAAATCATGCTTGTAACTAAATGGCTCAACATGATGTATTGAAAGTTCTCAAGTTTTATTATTTTTCTCTACTTAATTTAAGCATCAACTGTTTCATTTTATTATTAATCAGAACACACCTCTGTCTGCTCTCATTGGTGAAAAGAATTTAATATGTGCCCATCAGACAGTCACACATGGGAATATACACACACACACAAACTGCATTCAGAGCTTTTTTTGCATGCACCCTATTGGGATATGTCCAACACTTGGTGTTGATCTTGTCTCTTGTTAATTTTTTGCTTGCAGTTGAAATCTTGTCTTTTCAGAAAAAAATCTCATTATTATCTTTAAAATTAGTCTCTTTACATTTAAATCTTAATAATTTCTATAAAGATATTTTTAATGTTTAGATTTATTTCAAATTCAATTTTGTTTTATTTTAATTTAAAAAAAATTTTTACTCTTAAATTTACATGTATGCAAAAATGTCTGACTTATAATGTTTTAATGTTCTCAAAATATGATCTGAATATTGTTTTTAGAAATATTTTCAATATTTTTTAAAATGGAATTCTTAAAAGCATCAATAATCTTTTAAAAAAATATTGTCTAAAATTAATTATCCAATTATTTCTGAAAGCTTTAAGTGTTTATTATTAATCTATTGTTTGTAATAAACATCTTTGCTTTAGCTTTTTATTAAATTTTTTGTTCTATAAAAATGCTATTTTATTTTTAGCAAAATGGCTTCTTTTACCAGCTCTCACCACCTCATCTTCCACTGAAATCTTCTGTTGGGTTGTATATTCACACTTTGTTAAAACCAAAAAAAAACTTGTGGATTTTTCTCTGATCACTTGCAATTGTTATGTGTTAATTTCTAATCTTGCAAAGTTAACCCACCTTAGATAAATTTAAAAAAAAAAAATAAGAAAAGCCTACACTAACTTTTAATGTTGATGTACTTTTCAGTGGCTGCTTTATAATCCATCATCATCATAACAACAATGGCAGCAGCGATGATGAGGATGATAGGTCGTTTATGTCAGTGCATGTTTCTGCATGTTGCTTGCACTTTGTTCAGTTCCAATATCTTTATTTTGCTTTGCATTTCAGCATGTGGTGCCCGCTACAAGACAAGACCTGGACTTGCATATCATTACACCCACTTTCACAATGGGATGCTGGATGTTGATGAAAGCTGCACGCCATCTCCTCCAGCACATAAACCACCAGGTTAGTCCTTGAAGTACCATTCCACACAATTAGGCATTTTCATCCTCCACCTCTCCCTCACCCTTCTTGTCCATCTGTAAATCTTTCAAGTGGCAGACAGGGGAACAGTATTATCCTGAAAAATATTTTAGAAAAATCTATCTGCATTCATATTTTCACATATCTGCATGTATACATACACACACACACACACACACACACACAACATCAGTGGGAGTTAGGTGAATGTATACACACTGCTCCTGGCTACTGCCTGCTATTTTCTTTCCATCCGTTATTCCTCTGGCTTGTTGCTCACTGAAGAGATTATTTCCATAAACTCTGCTGTCATCTCCTCCCTCTCTGCCCATTTGCACTTTGTTTGTCACCCCCTTTTACTAAAACACTTCATGTTTATCAAACACTTTTGTCTCTTCTGATCAATGATAACTTCTTTTTTTTTCTCTTGTTACATTCACATAATAAAAACTTTTTTTATGTATTAATAAATATTGTTTCACAGAATTGCAACTACACAAAATTGACCAATGAAACTTTTTTTCTTTTTTAAATAGTTGACTGAGATTTATTTGCAAAAAAATTTATAAAATACCTGGTTACTTAAAATTTCCATGTTATTCAGTAAAACATAAAAATGATTCTTTTTTGCTGCTGCTGAGTCGATTTAGTTTCCTTTTTTAAAGTTTTTTTATTCTTAAAAAAAAATCTGCTCAGAGAAAGACTTACTGATGTATCATTGGGATTTTTGGCAGAGGTTTTGGGAAAACATTTTTGGCATTTATTCTTGTCTCTTAGTGTTCAATGGAACTTATTTTCAGGAGAAACATTGCTAACTTAGTCAATTTTAACAATCTCTTTGGACTTCCTGCTTTTATGAAGTGTGATATATTTTACAATTTATAAAATATTTTATACAGAAAGCCTTAAAAAATCTTTCTTTAGTTATCTGTCCATACTTAACTCATTTTTATGAGTTTCAATATACTTTTCTTTTTAAGAAATTGAGATTTATTATCTGATGTTTTTGTTTTTAATAATTCCTTATGTTCAACAATTTGGTATTTTGTTTAGGAAGTAGTTGTTTCTACTTATAACTAAATGATTATTCTGGTAGAATTTAACTTTTGCTATAATATTTGTTCAGTATTAAAGAATGTACTGAATTTAGTTTTCAGAACTAAATATTCAGCACAAATTATTCTTTAATGTTATGATAAGTAAAAAAATAAAATGGTTTAAGAATATATATGATTTTATTTATTGGTAAGAATGAATTTCAAGAGATGTAGTGAGATGGATATATTTTATTCTGGTTTGGTTTATCAAAGTTTTCATTATTTATATTTATTTCTGTAGATTCCTTTTTGAGTGACTATCATTTCTTTTTCTTTTGTGTTCACCTTGAGATAATTACCATTTGAACTGTTATACTTTAGAATTATTTTACTTTTACATTTTTGTTTGTTTTTCTTAGAAATCTTTTAATATCATTTTGTTTTCAAATGAAACTAGTTTCTTCATTGACTCCTGAGAATAAATAAATTTAGCTTGAAATCTGAAAACCTATAGATATAATAACTGGCTATGGTTTTATTTCTGCTTTCAGAAATAAGCCTGGTGCTGTTAGCAATTGTGGAACAAATTCATTCAGTGAACAAAACCTCTAATTACTCAGTTTTCTGTTCATATTTTTTGACTTTACTTTTTTTTTCTCCTCCTCCTTCTTACTTTCATATATAAGAGGTTGTTGAAAGCTCTTCTCGGCCTTGCCTTGAAGAGCTTTTAAAATGAATTCTGATGTTTGGTCATTTCGTCAGATTTGGGGAAATAGGTTGGGCCAAGAAATTTTCCACATCCTGCTCATTCACAATATATTCAGTTTTTGACTTGTTTCTCAATACAACCAAAATAAATTGGATGCCTTCTGAATGGATGTAACAGTTTCTGATAGATAAGTTGCATTTTGGTCTGATTGACTATAAATAATAAATTCATATCTGTAAATTTTTAGGCACCATTAAATGGAAAATGAAATTTCAAGAATGAAAAGTAAATTACATACACTTCATCTTTTCATTTTTTGAATTTGTTAATGACGTTTGAATTGGATAATTACTTAAATCTGCAAGCCTGTAATCCTGTCAGATAGGAAAGACTATATTTCCCATTGGTCTTTTAATTTCACTTATATTATTGTTATTCTAATTTGTAAGAATGAACTTTCACAATTTTTTTTTTTTTTTTTTATAGAAGAAATCCGCTTTATTTGGCCACCACATGTCACATTCTTCTGTAGATTTTTTGTTTTTTATGTTTTTCATAAAACAATAAGTTTCTTCTAGAAACAATAAGTTTTTTTGTGTTTTTTTTTTAAATAAAAATGAAAATGTTAGCAAAATAAATTGTGTTAACTGGGTTGAAGGCTTCTGGTCAAGTAATTTCCAATTCTTACATATTAATAAAAACATAATAAAGAACTCAAATAAAATAACAGTGAAAGTGTCTTGCCAATTTTCTCTTCCTTTTTTCTTTTTTTATAGCTTTTCATGCATTTCTTACATCCATGTAAAATTATTTTTCCCCATTTTCTTCATATTTTTTATTACCCCAAATAAATGATTTGTTTTAAAAAGATGGAAAATTTTCTATTATGTTGAACTTTGATAGAATTTTTTTTTCTGAGCCTGCTTACATTTTTTTCCCAGAATTTATTATATATATATATATATATATATGCACACACACATACATGCATATACACACACACACACACACAGTGCATTCAAAAAGTATCTGACTTTATTTTTTTCCTGCCAAAACTAGTGCTGCATTTGTGTAAGAATTTTCACACCGGTAGGCTGCATTAGTTCACAACTTTTATACCTACAGTACATACATTTAGTGCATGCTTATCAGGTTTTTGTTTTCCTGCAAGGTGGATGAACACATTGAGCAGAGATATTGCATTGTTTGGCCTAAAGCTTGGTGGTACTCAAGTTCAATCCATCACAATGATGCCATGGGCAAAATTCAAATCAAGGAGTGGTACGACTGCTTTAAACATAGCTGCACTGCAGTGTAGAGCGAGGAAAAACTCAAGTCGGGCCATGATTCAGAAGATTCTGTGGGTTGTCATGGAAGACTGTTGTGTAACAATCCAGGAAATTGCTCATGAAATGCAAATAAGCACAGGATCAGTGCATTCCATTTTAGTGTTGGGTTTTTGCATGCAGAAGCCATTGACAAAATTCACCTGCTCATTCTGCCCATATAATCCAAGCTTTCCTAGTCAAGAACAACACATCCCTTCTTCAACAAGCTCTCTACGCTCCTGACTTTGTACCGTGTGATTTCTGGCTTTTCCCCATTCTGAAAACCATGCTGAAAGAGAAGCAATTTGTGTTGCAAGAGTAAATTATGAGAAAAGTGATAACAGAGCTCTATAGCATTCCAGAAGGTGTTACCAGCAGTAGCAGAACTGCTCAGAGAAGTGTGTGAACTCCCAAGGAGAGTATTTTGAAGGTGATTTAAATAATATTTGTGAAATATACAAAATTGACTTTTTTTAATACCCAAAAGTCTGATACTTTTTGAACACATCTTGTGTTTTTGTATGTATGCGTGTGTGTGTATATATATATATATATATATATATATATATATATATATATATATATATATAAAAAAATAAGCAAAAGTTTGTCACTTTGCTGATTGATGTTACCTTCAGCCTTCTGACTCTGGTGTTTGTTGGTGGACCTATCTTCAGTGGGTATCAGCAATTTACTCCCTGAAGAGTGACCGGACATGTCTGCCTATGGGACTGCAGTTGGGATGCTGAAGGTGACATCAATCAACTAAGTGATAAACTTTTTCTCATATTAATTCTATTACTGCTCTATCTTTGATATCAAGCACTTTATTACAAGGACTGCTTGCATAAATGTTATTTCTCTCACTATCCTATTGACTGTCAGCATTTTTGGCTTCATACTATCTTTAACATCGCTCTCTCTCTCAAATAATTTTTAATCAATTTTCTACAGCAACCAAGAAATTAATTTGTAGGCTTGAAAGGATTAAAACTAAAATAAAGACATAATATTTCTAAATTATTTAACCAAACATGCTTGAATGAAAATACGCTGCCTAAATATATATATATATATATATATATATATATGATAAAATATAGTTTTATGGTAAAAATTTATATTTATAGGGTAAAAGTGCTCAATATCTGATAGCATGCATGTAAATATAATCGGTGTGTACCCAGAGTTCAAAACCAAATTGCAACAGTCTGTTTTATGCTTGGATATAATCTTCAGGTCATGAAGATTTCATTCAAGCAAGAAACAGATTGTCGCCATTTGGTGCTGAACTCTGTGTCCACACTGCTTGTCTATAAAATGTATGTATGTTTGCTTTTGTTAGCTCCCATTTAGTCAAAGTTTTCGCTTTTCTTTGTTCTTTTTCCTCAATTAAATGTATATTTCTATCAAAGTCAGTTTATGAGAACTTTTCATCTTTGATGTACATGTTAATCTGAAACTTTTTTTTCTGGTTAACTAACTTGTCAGTTTACCTCTATTCCTCCCTCTACTTTTTTTTTTTTTTTTTTTTTTGTTTTGTTTTGCTATGACCCATTTTCTGTTGTCCTTTTCCCATCCTTTCTTCATCTTACAAACTTTGTAATATATTGTTCTGTTTTCTTCCTTTCTTCAAAAGACTGATCTTTACAATTTTATCTCTTTTATTCTGTTTATTTTACAAGCCAATATTTAAAGAAAAAAGAAAGAAAAAATTAATTATTGTTATTTTGTCTAGGAATTGGAATGAACGTCTCCATTCCTGTTTCTAGAGGTGAGAGCAAATTTGATAAAGTTTCTTATCATTATTTCATTTGCTTTTTCCGCCAGAAATGATTCTACTTTTAACAATCTTGTGTGAGAAGAAAATCATTAAATCAACTTTTTTTTTCTTTTTTTCTTTTCTTT